TTGTGAGACAGGCTGGCCTTGAACTCACAGAGATCTGCCTGCCTCTGCCTCCTGAGTGCTGGGATTAAAGACGTGAGCCACTACGCCTGGCTTTCTTGTCTATTTTCATTTTCCTTATTTTCATTTCTGAGACAGGGTCTCAGGAAGCCCAGACTGACCTTAAACTCCTGATCTTATTTGCCTCCCAAATGGCAGGATTACATGCATGTGCCACCATGCCTGACTTCTGTTTAAAAAAAAAAAGCATTGCAGGTAAAGCCGATAATAGCTAGTCCTAGTCCTTCTGTCTCCCCTGAGGCAGCCACCCTCAGGGATTTTATGATAGGACTCCTTCCACCTCCTTCCTGTACTTCCTGTGACACTGAGCCTTCCGACTCATTTGTAGAAAGTGCCAGAGCCTCTCCAGGGCAAATACCTAGCAGAGAAGATGAGTCTGGGAAATGGGATTCTCAATTCCCATTCTCCCAGACTTGCAGGTTCAGAGTGCACAGTAGCATGTCGTTCTGTGCATACTGACACATCACAGGCAAAGGGGCTGCCCCAGCATGTACAGAGGGCTCATTTTTTCCACATTTGTTCCAACAATTAGCATTCACTTTAACATTTTTGCTGCTCTCACGGTGAGAAGTGATACTGCAGTTTACTTTTTCCTGATGACTGGAGAGGCTGCACCTTCTTTGGTGTGTCAGTATTTGGGTTTCCTTTGCTGTGCATGCTTGTTCACCTCAATCATTTGCCTATCTTTTCTTATAGATCAGCAGGCTTTTGTTTGTTTGTTTTGTATAGTTTGAGGCAGGGTCTCACCATATAGCCCTGACTGGCCTAGAACTGTCTATGTAGACCAGGCTTGACCTTGAACTCACAGAGATCCACCCAGCAGGCATTTTTGAACACTAGAGATACAACCATTTGTTCTTGACTTTGGAGATGTCTTCTAGTGTGTCTCTGCCCTAACCTTGATGTCCTGTTGTTGCCGCCGTGCTAGTGTTCAAGCCTAGGATTTCATACATTGCTAGGCAGTACTCTACCTCTGGGCTATAGTCCAAGGCCACTTTGATATCTTAAGTTTTTCATTATGTAACTATGTAGTCTGGGTCTTGGAGTGTATGGTTTTTAGTAAATGTGGGAATCGGGACCTACACCTCACCTTTTTCTCTTTTTCCTGTAGCTCCATGTGTCCTACCAGAAGTACTTCAAGCTAGAGCCTCTCCAGGCCTACCATCGGGTTGTCAGCCTGGAGGACTTCATGGAGAAGTTGGCACCCATTCACTGGCCCCCTGAGAAGCGGGTGGCATACTGCTTTGAGGTGGCAGCCCAGCGAAGCCCTGATAAGAAGACATGCCCAATGAAGGTAGATCTTGCTGCATGTCCTGCAGCCCGAGACTACATGGCAGTGCAGGGGGAAAAGCACTAGAAGGGCTTAGAATGGAAAGATGGAGATTCGGATCTGTTTTTGGCATTGGTTAGCAGTGTTACCTTTGGCACACTTTGCTTCTCTGAGCCTTTATTTCTCCCTGCTCGAGGTGGCTCATGGAGAGCAGGCCAGGTATCAGAGCGCCTATGAACTGTAACATGTAGTGTCAGTAATAACTAATGTTCACATAGCACCAACAGCTCTATGTGTATTGACTCCTTTAGTCCTCAGACTGCTGTGTAGGGAAAGTGCTACTAATGCCCTCCTTGTACAGAGGAAACACAGCCAGCAAGGTCAAGCTGGAAGCCTCCCCTTTGTAATTTGGCTCTTTTGTCCACTCTCTTAACTTGAATGCTTTCCTGCCTCCCATGGGTAGATGAAGAGCTGTCATAGATGAGCAGTAGAAATTACTGAATTCTGGGTACTTGAGAATATGACACACCCCAATATGTCTTTTGGTGCTTATGATGCAGTTTGAGACAAGTAGTAAAAGAGTTGTCTAATTTGAGGAGGGAGACCTAGCTTATAGTCCCAGCACTGCCCTTATCAGCTGTGTGACTGACCTTGATCTTGCCTACTGTACATCTGTTTCCATTGTGAAAATGAGGGTGTTGTTAGGCCGGGCATTGTGGGAGGCAGAGGCAGGCGGATCTTTGTGAGTTCAAGGCCAGCCTGGGTCTACATAGTGAGTTCCAAGCCAGCTGGGACTATAGGAGACCCCATTGAGAGAGAGAGAGAGAGAGAGAGAGAGAGAGAGAAAGAAATGAGGGTGTTGTATTAGCCAGACTTGAAAGTCTCTTAAAGCTCTATACTGTAGTTCCAGCCCAAGGTTCACTCCTTGCCAGGCCCCACCAGTGCATTAGGGTTAGTGGGACATGGCATATAAACAGAATAGATTCCTTCAAATTCTGCTAGAAGCCAAGTCCTCTCCTTAGCCCAGGCCAAGGGGCTCTCTCATTGAGGGTATTTTACCAGTTATCCAGGTGTCATGACATCCCCTAAGCCCCTCTCTCTGCAGTCTCTTGCCCCCATCCTCATCCCCAGATGGCTTTCCCTCCTACTTGGTAAAACTTCTACTCTCTTTCTGCAGGAAGGAAATCCCTTTGGGCCATTCTGGGACCAGTTTCATGTGAGTTTCAATAAGTCAGAGCTGTTCACAGGCATTTCCTTCAGTGCCTCCTACAAAGAACAATGGATCCAGAGGTACTTGGATAGCAGTACTGGGTTTAGGGAGGACTCGGGCATTCTGCTCTTTCCTGGCCTTTTCCCCCCTCTACCCTACCTTCATGTAAGACCAAAGGTGCAGGTACTCTGTTCTGTCAGTTGAACTTGGGATCCCGTGTGATCTCTTCCCATCTCAGTGCCTGACACAGCGGGATGTTGACCTACCCTGAGGTTGAGCAAGAGTCTGGGCTGATAAGGGATGTCATAAAAAGGACATTGTGCAGTCACATGCATGTCAATTTCCACCTCCAGGCGTGAGAATCACTCCTCTTTTGTCTTCCTCTTCACAAGGTGAAAATTGGAAGCAGTGCCTGGAGAACAGCTCAGGTGCAGACTGAGAAATGATGTCATTCTCATAATTACTAGCCAGGCTTTATTAATTGTGTACCAGTAGACCCTATTAAAAAATATGTTAGCAGGACACGGGTACAGGCTGTGAAATATTTATAGAGCATATGTCATATGTGAGACACAGTACTTGGAGGCCAACATATAGAAACGAGGACAATCCAGCTCTGGTGTTTGGGGAACCAGTCCCTAGTCAGATTGATAAACTCACATGGTGATTAGCCATTGATGCTCTAGTGTGGCAGGGAAGAGCTAGGACTAAGTCAGAATGGGGGCTAGCACAAACCTTGCCTAACAGGCATGAGGCCCTGAATTTTGCCCCCAGGTCTACCACCACCACTACAAAAGTAGTCATATTAGGTTAGGGGGTAAGAGAAGCAGGTGAATTCAGGCATAGCCATAGCACTTGATGGTCAGTAGGCCAGTGATAGACCCCTGTAGAGACAAAAAGTGAGCATGGCCTGAACTCTGACCCACCGTGACCTCTTTTTTGGGAGACTCTGAGCAAGCCACTCCAGCTCTCTGGTCCCAGTTTCTACCTTGGGTTAACAAGAAGAGCTTCAATAAGTTTTGCTTTCTGGCATATGAAGTGCATGGCACATAGTAAGTCAACCAAAGTTAGCTGTCACTCACACTCACAGGCCTATTTTAACTAAGCCTGTGAGAGATTTCATGAAGTGGCTATTGCTATCATTTTCCTTTGGGGAATGTGTGGAGGTCAGACTCAGGGCCTCAGGGCCTCACACATGCTAGGCGAGCCCTCTACCCTTGAACTACCCACTCCGACAAGGCCTCTGTTTTACAAATGAGGAAGCTGAGCTCGGTGAAGTTAAATAACTTACCCAAGGTGGTAGGTGGTAGGGCTGTTGCATGACTGGTTTGGCTCTAATGTAAATATTTAAGTAATAAGAGCTAATACATAGTTCATGACTGCTATATGCCAGACATTGTTTCTACATCTTCATAGTTATTGACTCAGATTTAATGAGTCTGTGGGGTGGGTGTTGTCATCTGAGCTTTACCCATAAAGCAATGGAAACCAAGAAGAACAGAGTCACTTGTCCAAAGTCATGAAGCTTGAAGCAGAACTGGGATTTTAACCTAGATAGTCTGACTCCAAAGAATCCATTCTTTTTTTTTTTTGAGACAGGATCTCACTTTATAGCCCAGGCAGGTCTCAAACTCACCATGTAGCCAAGAATGTACTTAAATTCCTGATCCTCCTGCCTCTGCCTCCCCGTGCTGGGATTACTAGAAAAGTGTATGCTACCAGACCTGGCTAAAGCATCTGTTCTAAATGACCGAGCATCAAGTTGCTGTACTGTCAGCAGCTGCTCACTCTGTTCTGGGACTTTTCTTTCCAACTAGTACAAGAGCCACTTGGGCTACTCAGTTGGTCAGAGTCTAATCTCCTTCGTTGCTGATCTGAGATAACACTGTTCCATTTGATCACTTGCCAGGTTCTCCTTACTCACTTCTGAATGACAGGCAACCATTGCATCACTGGAAGGCAGACTCAAAAGATAAGGGTTTGTCCCTAATAGTGCTTCTCAGTCTTCTGGCTAAGATCAAGTGTAGGATTTGTCTCCATTGATGATGTGCCACAATAAAATTATGCCACAACTCTAAAAGGCACTCCAAAAGTGAATCTCCAAGAGCCAGACAAAGCACCAAGTCCTAATGGGCAGGAAGGGGCAGTGTTGTGTGCATGGGCTCATTGATCAGGGAGTGTCCCTTAGCGTGTAGTTGTAAGAAATACATGAGAGCTTAAACTTGTGCCTTAACCATTCAATTTTGGGGAAAAGAAGATGATATTGAAGAGGTAGTTTGAGGGAATTAGGGCTTCCCAGGTGCCTGCCTTTCTTCAACACATAATAAAGAAGCACTTCCTTCCCAAGCACTGGTCTGGATGCTGGGGATGCAATCAGTAACTAAACAGACAAGGCCCCCGTTCTGATGGAGCTCGGAGTC